GAAGCAGCCATGGTAGGTTTTTCCTTTTACTTTGTACTTCTCCGATTTTTTGACAATGATCACTTTGTAAAAATGAAACTATTACTATTGAATTAAAAAATTTTAAAGAGTCTAGAAATTACACTGGACTCCCCAGTTGTTTTTTAAGCATCTTCATTTTGTTTTGTTATAGCAGTTTTAGGTTCACAGCAAGGTTATGAGGAAGACACAGAGATTTCCCATACTCTCTGCCCCACGCAGGTGCTCCGCTCCCATCATCCACCTCCTCCACAGGACTGGGGCATTTGTCCTTTACCAGATGTGTCCTTTGCAAATATTTTCTCCTCACCTCTAGCTTGTCTTCTTGTTCTCTTGGCATGGTCTTTCACAGAACAATTTTTAATTTTAGTGGTATTTTGGACAATGATCACTTTTTATAATCTTCCTTAGGTTAGGTTCCCTGGGAACCCATCTCAGAGGCAGATATTTAAGTGCAAGAGATTTACTGCGGGGTGCTCTGAGGAGCCACACCATGAGAGGTAAAAGAATGGGAGCAGGTAGAAGAGGGGCAGAATTGTGATGCAGCTGGCTGATCCCAGAGGGGCTGCAAGGGCCCTACAGAGGTGTCCCTAATTGAAGTAGGGAGTGAGGTCCTTGCATCCCAACATCAACCAGCCAGTGAACACAGGTGCCCCTGGGAATGGGGTGTAACCTGGGGTGAGGCAGCTCACTTGGCCCAGGGAAATTCCCAGGGAGAGACTCAACCGTGAGTGTCAGCAGCCAGCGCTCCCAGCAATTGAAGTTATGAGGGCCTCGGTTCCAAGTGGGGGTCTGCAAGCACATGGCATCACTGGTGACACAGTCGAGGAAAACATACGTGAAAATAAAGTGACAGAAGGGCGGGCTGGGAGATAACGGATACTGAGTTTCATGAAGGGCTTGCTGTGTGATCCTGGGCACATCTTCTTCCTCTGGGCCTCAGTTTTCCCGTTCGTATTTGAGAAGGTGTTCCCAGTATCTCCGAATTGCTCGCTGCAGCTAGTTGGGACACTCAGGACTCTGAGGGTTGGGACACTCCAGGACAAGCAGATGTGCTGGAAGGTGGCCGCAGCTGAAGAAGGTGGGGCCATCGTGGGGCGGACCTAGGGGTGCCACGGTCTCAGGATGCCCACGAACCAGGCCAGTTGGCCCATCCTCCCGGGGCTCTCCCTGAAAGGTGCTTCTGTGTATTATTAATTTATAAAATAGTAGAACAAAGCGGGGCCCTGCAGGTCAGTGGGACCATCCCTTCATTACAACAAATGAGGACTCATGTCCAAAGTCACAGACTGAATCAGCGGCTGAACCAACCCCAGCTCCCAAAACCTGGCCGAGGGGTTTCTCAGTGCCCCTTGTTGCCAGCATCTTGAGAGACTGAGTCAAGCTTTGTCTTGGTTGGAAGGAAGAGATATTCCTCAAGCTAACTTGTATGAATGGAGACCTATTTGGAAAGAGTCAGGATGAAATAATTTCTCCCATCTTCTTCTTAAGAAGGAGCGAAGCCAAGGGACAGGGAAAAATTGATTTGAGCACAGAACTCTGTCAGTGTCAGACAGGTTCAAAATGTATCCAGAGTGTTGGACACCCTCCTAACGCACAAGGTCAGAGTTAATGGACTCTATGGAGTAGACCGGATTCCTTCATTATTCACTTTGGGAGGCTTTCAGGGAAACGTTAATCTCAGACCCAAATGTTTGATTTTAGATAAGCTAGTTGAGAGTAAGCTGGAGCTAGGGTGGAAAACTGCAACCTTTCCCCTCTAAACCACCGCCAAAAGACTGATTTTCTCTCCCCTCTTCTAGATCACTGCCACTCCACCACATAGATCAATCAACCGAAAGACATTGAATTTGAGTCCCCCTGCCCCACCAAAAACCAGAGCATATGTAAGAAAATCGCTTGATATTCAGTGGACCTGGAGAGTGAGGACAGTTTAGTTACAGTGTGTATAAATGTGTCCCTGTAGTGAGGGGTGGCACGCTCCAGGAAAAGGGGCTTAGTGGACAGAGAAGGGGGATGAATGACAAAGGAAAAGGGTTTGGAAAGGAGGGGAAGAGCTGGAAAGGAAGGGACATCTAGGGAATCACCCACAGTTCTGGGGAATGTCCACAGGATACCCTGAAAGGGCCAGCGTCCAGAGTAGGGGGAGACCACAGTGTGCAGTGTGAGAGCAGCGAGGCGCGCCTGGCTCTCCCCCAGCAGCTCCTGATGGTTATGGCTGGAAACCCTTCCGTGAAAGCATCGTAACCCTGGCTGTTTCTCGCCTGCAGGTGACAAATCCATCCAGCCAGAGACAGTAAAACGGAGGCACCTGATTCTTCTCATTTTATGTCCCATCCGTGTTCCCACCCAAAGGGGGACTAGAAACAAACACTTCCATGTGGGATTCATGATGAAATGAGGCATCACATACAACTCACAGGAATTTATTTCTTGCTCATGTCATAGCCCCAAGTATGTGGGGAGGAGAGGATATGATCCACACAGAAACCCAGAACCCCAGGCTCCTCCATCCAGACCCACTGTGGTCCTTGACGTCCTCCCCTGGCCACCAGCAGGCAGTGAGAGAGAAGATTTGCAGGCCAGGTCCAGACTTGGAGCGCATCACTCACGCTCCCATTTCACTGGCCAGCACACGGTCACTAGCCACACTTCACTGAAAGCGGAGATGGAATTCAGTCCAGCTGTGTGCCTGGTGGAAAGCAAAGACCGTGGGTACTGGCGAGTGCCAGGGTCAGTTTCTCAAGCTCCACCTCTCTCCCGCCACAGGGTCTCTCCTCTGCGTCAGACCTTCATTCTTTTTCTCTGCTGGCCAGGTTCATGCTTTCTTAGCCATGTTCCTGGTGCCCAAAGGTTTTGAATCTAGATGATTTTCCAGCAGGGACAACATCTGTGAGAGGGAATCCGGTGTGCTCACCCTGGATTCTGGGTTCACCTTGGCTGCGATCAGTTACAGATGTCTGACTCTCACTGGGGGTCAGAGGAAACTCCAAAAAAAGGGGTATGAGCTCTTTAGACACCCCAAACTCTTTTTTCCAAAAGACCTCCGCAAAAATATGATTTCGCTGCCCCCGTGGGAGGGCCCTGTAAGGTCAAGGCCTGGGAAAGGCTAGACTGTTTTTTCCTAGGGTGGTCTTATGAAAACAATCACACTAAATATGAATTGTTTTTATTTCATGTCTGTACTTAACATGGCGGGGAATTGAGCCTCAGAGAACGTAAGTGGCTCATCCATGGTCACTCAGCTCCTAATGGCAGAACAAAACCTTGAGCCCTGGTCCCCTAATCTTCACTCTGATTTTTAGATTTCAGAAATTCTTGGGACTCACACTTCTCATCGACGGAGAAAATTTTCTTGCCAGAGTGAAGGAGTGAGGCAATATCTTAGGGAAGGAAATGAGCAGAAACACGGATCTTTCCTCAGAGCCTCTCCCACAGGCCAGGATGGGGGAAAGACAGCTGGCTCAGACACCGCGGTCCCCTGATCCTATGCCACTAGTAAGGTGTCATGGGGTAAAGTTAAGAAAGCTTTAGGCTGGAGGCACTGCAATGCTCCCTCTCCCCATGGGCAGGCAACATTTTATACTAAGCGGTATTTTGGCTCCATCTTTCATGCAGAACTGTGGGAATCCCCAGAAATGTCTGGAGCACTCTTTTACCTAAGCCAGGTGGAACATTACCTATTAAAGTTTCTGCGAGGAATGACACACATCACTTCTCATCACATTGCAGAGGCCAAAGCAGATCATAACCGATGAGCCTGAGCGCAAAGGGGCCCAGGAAGGAAGAAAATTGGAATATTTGGGAGTAGCCCTACTGACCACGGGGAGACTCTCAGCTTTTGCTTGGATTTTCCAATCTGTAGGAAAGCTCCACAGGGATCTTCCCTCTGGAGTGGTTCAGTTTTTCGGGATAAGGATTCTGATGGCTCTGAACCTGCCTGTGGGAGCTCCAGAGCTAGATTGGGGGTGAAGGTGAGGCACTGGGTCCCCATTGCTTATCAGTAGCTTCTCACTTCCTCCCATTTTTGGTACCATGTCTCAGTTCTTTCTGTGGGAGGAAACGCTGAACCCAGCGTGCATAGCCTTCAATTTCTATGGAGACCAAAGCTTCCAGTCTTCTCAAGAGATGCCCAAGATTTGGGAATGAAACTGGGTATCTAACTGCTCTTTGTACAGATAATAAAACAGCAACCCCCCTTGAAACCATCCTCTCTGTCCAACTGTCAATTTCTGAGCCTCCCCAACATTTTGCTGAGCTTCTCGTAAGTATTTCCTGGTGCAAACCATTCCCCTACCATTTCTCCCCTTTGACACTGCCAGTCACTGTGGCATTGATGGGGTTCATGCATGAGGTGCCACGGGATCAGGAGCTATTAGAAACCTGGCTTCAAAGTTACAAGAAAGAGGCTACTAGCACACTGGACTATCACCACCTTGACATCTGGAGATGGCCTGAGAACCTCCAACTTACGTTTGCTAGCACCTTCCACAGGCTAGGGCATCAGAAGGCTGGGGGCAAGGAGCACCCCGAAGGTGATGAGGCTGTGGGCGTCATAGCGGGGCAGGTGGGGCTGCCTGGTGGCTGCTCCCAGCTCCTTCACCTCTTCCACCTCCCACAAGAAGGGCCCTGGGTCCTCCTGCCTGTTAATTCAAAACAGGGGAGCATGGTGACCCTGACCTCCCAGAGTGCTGATGGCCCTTTTCTGCCCCAGGCAAGAGCCTGAGGCCCGGAAAGGACAGACAGAACACAGCGCGGGAGGTGTCACCAGGCCAGTCAGAAAGCCCTTCTGGACCCAGGGGACCCTGAACTGCCCGTGTCTGGGGCAGAACAAAGAGGAACAAGACATTACAAAAGAGCTTCTTGTGGCCTCTCAGCATGCCCTTACTTCCCCGCCCTTTTGGTCTCCCCGCCTACTACCGGGGTCATTCCCCTTCCAAACTGCAGGTGACACACCTTCTCCTGACTTGTTTCCCTGCCAGTTGCATGGGTTTTCTCAAAGAAGCCTTGTTGAATGGTTAGTGAAGAGGGGGCAGCGATCAACCTTTCTTTGGGCCTCAGCCTTCCCAGCTGTGAAGTGGGCAAAGTGCTGCCTGAAGAGGCCACGGGGAAGGGCTTGGGATGAAGGAGGTGGAAGGACATTGAAGGGCGTGAGCTCACTGCCCCTTCACACTGTGACTGGAGTGAAGATGATGTGAGTCTCAGGTGAGTCATTTTTCCTGAGAGGAATTAAAATTAATTTCTGTAGTTTAAGCCACCCCGTCTTCAGTATTTTATTATAGCAGCCTGAGCAGATTAAGACATGTACCTTTACAGTAAGTCTTGATTTCAGCCAAAATCGTTTTGGCTACGGGTTACCATTAGATTTTACAGAAAGCCTGTCTGTCCTGCCCACAATCCAGGGTACTGCCCATTCCACTGACATCTACTGTCAGCTCCTGGGGTGGTGCTCGGCCTGAGGGCTTCCCCTCAGCCCTCCTGAGGGGAGGCCAAATGCCTCAGCAGGCAGCCCTCAGCCCTCAGCCAATGACAGATGGGAGCTGGATGATGAATACCTCATCTTCCCCATCCTGGGTTGGAAATTTCAAAGTGGGTTCTGTACTGTCTTCTAGAGTTTGAGGATTGAGCCCCATTGCCACAGCAGTAACCTTCTCAGTACTGCACCCTCTCCGGCTTCCTTCCAATCCCTGTCTCACAAACCTATGCTCTGATTACTGTCCCTGGATCACCTCCTAAATAAATGACTTGTCCTCAGATTATTGCTTCAGGGTCCCAGGCCAAAATTAAATGTCCATCCAGGTCAGTGATTGGTAAAGTATGCAGTCGCCATCAGAGCAGGGAGGGAGAACAACTGTGTAGCTCAGAAACCGGACACAGAGTGTGTGTTGGATGAATGAAACAATGAATGATTCACTGAATGCACCAGTGAAGGAGACAAAAAGAGCCATTAGCCATGTTCCAATCCCACCCTCCCAATTTATGGTGATCCTTGGGGACACTGAGCCATGTCCAGATGTTTACAGGGTTCCTTTCAGATATTTGGAAAAGGTTCTCTAAAAATGCCAACAGTCTCTAAGGGGGATGGCATATCCCTCCACCGTGAGGCAGGCTACTGGAGATGGTGGCAGTGCCATCAAGTGGTGGGTGTCTGGACAGAAACTTGTTGAAAGGGGCCAGAAGATTGGCCCATGGGGTGAAAACAAGGGAGGGTCATGTCAGTGGCAGCCTGTCTCTTGATCAGTGACTTGATGGAAGATAAATGTGCCTGTCAGACCTCCTCCCATCAGAAACAAGCTTCACAGTCAAATTCCGTCCTGCTGGGGTTTTCCCTCCCCAGCTCTTCCTAGATGAATCTTTTGAAGTTTATAGAAGGTCTGAATGCCCTCTCAAACATCCCCACAATTCTGTTGAGTCTATGGAAATAAACTTGTACAGGGCTTGGCCATTAAGATTTAGCAATTGCTTGTTAATAGAGTACTAAGTATTATGGACATTAATCATACGAACATTATGACCATTAACGAACATTAATCATATGATTATTTGTGTGCTTGCTTATATACTTGACCTCGTAAACAATTATGAACTTCAAATTGAAATAAGATATGAGTTTTCATACACCGATTAACAAGAATTTTAAAGTCTGACAATGTATTATTAAGTTACAGGGAAACAGACCCATATACTACTAGTAGGAGGGTAAACTGAGCCATCCATTTGGCAGAATTACTTGTTTTTTTTCCTACAAGAATAACCTAGCCTTGCCAAAAGTGAAAATCTAGAAGAAATTTGGATTCTAGGAATATAGCTTAGGGAAAGAAACACGGGCTATGAGGATTCGTGCTGCAAAAGGAAGTCGCTCTGCTCCCCACCTGACACCAGGCCAGACTCTATGAATTACAGACACTGCGCATGTAGAAAGCAGCATGCGCTTTTATTCATTGTATGATCAGAACACCCTTTCTGTGCCCAGCCCTTTTCTGGATGCTAGGGAGACACAAAGGACGAGGCTCGAAGGAGGGCTCATGGCAAAACGAAAGCTTAGCTGGTTCTGACTTGTTAGCTGATTCGTCATGTGGGGAATGGACTCCACGGATCACTCACACCAGGAATCCTCAGCGTTGCCATGTTGGCAATAAGCCAACTACAGAAAGACATTAGGTCAGGGCTTCTACCCCCATGGGGCAGCCATTTGTTAAAATACCTCTTGTTATTTTGGTTGGGTAATGGGTTAAGACACATGCATATTTTTGATACCTCTAATCTAATTTTCCAAAGGTGACCAAATATTACATTACTTGGGTATGCATAAACGTACAGATAACTTGGATTCTCTCTGCTCTAAGATTTAGAATCTACAGGAGAAGTTCCTGGGAAATTGAAAATCTAATGAGCACTGCAGATTAATATCATGATCGTGGATCTTAAGTAATACTGACTTAGACTTTAAGACCAGGGACATGTCTATAATTGAAAGAACTGTATAGCCTATAGAAAGATAATGTAAGATTTATGAAAAAATTATTATATGCTTTTCATCCTTGGTCTCAAATCACATTGAGAGGTAGATAGGTGGTCCTGGGATAGAAAGCAACGATGCCTTGTTGACTTAAGACTTCCTTAGTAGGTGTAAGTTAGATGATCATCCATTATATTCCATCTTCCAGTCACAAGAAACAGGCTTTACCTGTGTGCCCAAAGGCTCATTCAAGCCTTGAGTGTAATGGCAGAAATGTAGATTGACTGTTGGGTGACAACTAGAAATCTGTGATATATACTATTCCAGGCATATTCTTTTCAACAAATACTTATACATTGAAAGAATAATCAATGTAGGGGCTATTAAATCACTTAGCATCTCTAATATCCCTCTTAAGGAAAGTATCCATTAGATCATTAATTTGTAGAGCAACATTATAAAAATGCTTTTAGATAATTATATCATGTTTTTCTTTGTAGATGATTTTTGTGAAAAAATTCATTGGTGAACACTGGTATATTCATTTATGTATTCTTTTTTTTTTGTAAATTCCACATAAATAAAAGTTAACTATGTGTCACACCCTATGCCAGATGCTAGAAATAAGATATGGCAAGCAAAAGCAAAGATAATTATTGTTCTCTAGGAATTTAAATGTACTGATTAAAGTTATTATTCACTATTGAATGGAAATGTTCCACACTGCATGTGTGTTCTCCAGAAAAGCTACAGGAAATAGCTCCCCACATACCTAGTTTTAGTTCTAAGAATCTTGTTAGGTAGGCATCAGCTTTATATTTTAGACGTACTGAAAATGAGATACAGGATATTTAACAAAATTTTAAGCTGACATTTTAGAAGGGAGTTTGAATAGAAAACTTGACATTTTATTCTTTTTAAAAATCAGTTTATTTGGGTATTTATACATGAAAAAGAGAGAAGCAACCATCAGCACAATTCAAGTTTAAACTGTTTATATCCCTCTTGCCCTTTAGAGGTGTCACACCCTCTTCCCACCCCCAACTCTAGGTAACCACTCATCTACATTCTATTCCTTGTTTTGCCTTTTCTGGACATTATATAAAAAGAGAATGAAACAGTGTATTTTTTGGATGTGCTTCTTTTCCTTCACATTTTTGTGGTTCATTCACACTGTAGTATATATCATTACTTTTCAATCTTCTGATTGTATTGATATACCACATTTTGTATTGATATACCAAATTTTGACTATTTGTTCACTAGTTCATGGATGCTGGGATTATTACCATTTTTGGCTATTAAGGACCAAATGTTATAATCACTACTGTACAAGTTTTTTTATGGACCTATGTCTTCATTTTTCTTGGGTGAACACACAGAAGTAGAATGGATGGTCCATATGGTAGATTTATGTTGATTTAAGAATCTATCAACATATTTTCCAAATTGACTGTACCTTCTTATATTCCCATCAGTGACGTGTGGTAATTCTCTTTCTACCACATCCTTACCAACAATTGTTATTATATACCTTTTTAATAGTTACTACAATCACCAAAATGTACTTTGGTAAGTATATAAAATTTGTGTGTATACCCTGTGGCCATAATTAAGGGGGAAAAAGGTTTAAGACAAGTACGTAGTGGTCAAGAGCAAGGAAGGAGCCTTCCCACCTTCTCTGGACCTTGCTTCTCTTTTGTCATTTTCTCTCGGCCACCACCCAGCTTCCTCTTACCTTCAGTCATCTTTAAGACACCAATACGAACACCCTTTACTTTCAAAGATGCCTCAGTCAACCATTACTTCAGCTGTTTCTAAGAAGGCTCTCTAATTCAACTTGTCCAAGATAAAAATAATCCTACATATCCCTACCAGAATTTTTTTTTGGTTGGGATAACACCATAACATTACACTGTAAAAGAATCATGACTGTACATATTATGCCACAATTTATACTAGAGCTTACACTTGGTTAAATTATTTCAGAAATTACTTCATAACAAGAGTGAAAGCAAACATTCAAATAAACAAGTCAGTGTTATTTGGGCTGATGTACAATTTACACTCAATTATAAGATTATTCAATCTACTAAGAGGGAATTACTTGTTTTCAGAAGACCAAAAAAAAAAAAAAAGATACTACTGAACAATTTACTTTAAAAACTTTGAGATATAATCTTTACTTGGGGATTTAGAAATGCCTTCAAACACATTTAAATTGTGAAAAAACACAACTCTAGATTATTATACCCCCAAAAAGTTTTTCGATAAATCCAGGGAGGCCAAAAGCTTATTAATCTTACTGTTCTAAGGTAAATAAAAATAGCAGATATAAAATTATTATACCCCCAAAAAGTTTTTCGATAAATCCAGGGAGGCCAAAAGCTTATTAATCTTACTGTTCTAAGGTAAATAAAAATAGCAGATATAAAAAATATATTACTGGAACTGAGCATAGGAGATGCAACTATTTGAACACTATGACTTTTTAAAATTAATTTTCAGGTTTATTCAGTAACAATTTGCACACAATAAAATTAAACTTTTATAGGTTTACAGTTCTATAAGTTTGAACACACATATATAATTGCATAAACATCACTACAATCAACAGATTGAATATTTCCTTCCCCCAAATTCCCTTCTGCTGCTTTGTAGTTAACCTTTCCCTGCCCCTAATACCTGGCACCACTTATCTGATTTTGTCACCTTGAGTAAATTTAAAAATTCTTTGTTAAAATAA